ATATAAACATAAAGAAAACCGTTTCTGTCTTTTATCTAATATACATAATACTGATAACTTGTTCTTTGACTTTTAAATATATTGAGGTATTGAGAAATATTTATATTTTATGGATGGTACTTCTATTTTAAATTTCTTTACAGAAAATACCCAAAATGTTATTTCGTAACTATTTATAAAACTACGCTGTCCTCTTTCAGTACTACGATTTCGATTCGCAATACAGTGGTAATATTCAATTTCTTAAAAGCTCCATGACGGCACTTCATTAGTTTTTCCTCTACTATCTGCGACCCGCATTTCAGCGTTTGTTTGTCTTTCGACTCTTCCACTCTTGGCATTCCTAGCTCGCTTTTGCACCCCTTTCATTAATAGAGCAGAATACTCAGATTTTACGTCGTTTTTATGCCACTTTTTTATTTTTCATTCACTTTATGTGTTGTTTATATTCGACGTCCGCTTTAGGCGTAGGTGCTCGAATCTCATCTCGAGTAGTAATTTTGTATTGCGTTGGGGCTTTCAGGAAAACATTCAAATATTATTAAGTTATATGGTTTCTAATGTAAAATTCTTTTATCGTTTCTGGCGTTGTTTAAAATTTAATTAATAACGTTACACGATAACTAGTCATGTACGTATAAGGTACTTCGATCGTGATTGATTTTATTTATCAACATCGGAGTGAATTAACTTTTGTATTCCTCTATAGGATAAATCCGCAATTGTGCATTCAATCTTGTTTAATGTGTTCAATGTAAAGTATGTACAACAAAGATTTTACAATACAATATAGTCAGTACAAAATTTGCAAAGATATTTCTTCACTTACACATAAAAGAAACAGACGAAACGCGGTGTTATTTGTTTCATTAGTTGTTTAAAAATAAAAACTAGATAATGTAAATTAACTACAAATTTTAACCTCAATTCTGTAAGTACACCAAAACAATAGTTTATAGAATATAAAACAAGTCTAGGAGCCAGGAAGCGTTCATTTCCAATGTCAAGTTATGAAATTAATCGCAAAATTTTACCGAGGCCGTGTTCGGCAGGTGGCGTTCCCTCGGGAGCCGTTTGCAGTACAGAAATACCGCCTAACTCTGTTGAATGTGAAAAGTTCCAAATACCGACCTATACAAAAGTTTTTAGCTTAATTCCTAATATAAAAGACTTAGCCAATGAGTTTTCGAAATGTATCTGGTTGCAGCTATGTTTCCTTATTTTCTTAACTTATAATTAAGTTCATGTATAACGTCATATACGAGTATAAAGCTGACAGTTGATATTATGACAATGATGATGAAATATAATGCTTATAAAATAATACAATAATAGGTATATTTAAATATTTTTCTGTGTTATTTAAAGTACAAACAGTCAATATATTGTTGAATTTAAGCTGAAATACCAATATTTTTTGTATTCAACAGAAATTTAAATTGGTAGTCTGCTTTTACAATCATATTTTTATATTTCAATTTCATATTTTTATTTTCTCTTATGAAATTGGTGAAAAGAATATTTTTAGTAGGTAGCTAGGTAATATTTCATGAATAAAACATAAATGTAAATTTAAGAACTTGACAATATTTAAGTTATGAGGACAGTGGCTATTAGCACTCTGTTCTCTCTACCTATCACGTTAGTTACCGGTATGAAGATTGATAAATAGATAATACTTTTTTAATTGCAAATGTTTTCACTGAAGACTAAACCAGAAAATTCTTATAACCAATTTGGAGCACTAAAACTCAACACATTTATTTCCTGTTGTAAGTTTCAAAGTTTGCTAAATTGAATTATAACACATAGTCATGTCCTCAGATGTTCTGGATTAATCATGATAAACAAATATATAAATAGCATGACATATTATACATTATACAGAGCCCTCTGTTAATAAACAGAATTAGTATTATGAATTCATTTTGACAATTGATTAAAAAAAAGCATTAACACTAATAACACGTCATTCTATAAATCTATCAAGCTGTTAAGGATCCATTAATTATAACCGACAAACATTATGTGTTTGACGGTTGTAATCGATACCAATGGAGCGTAAAAAATTGAAAATTGGTTTCGAATGCGGTCAAATTGTCACAATAGGAGAAATGTTTGTACAAATTAAAAATTGCTGAATAAGTTGAATTTCCCGATTTCATCATTTTACTTTTATGTTTTCAATTGAAATATTTTTCCAGTATTTTCTAAACATTTTTCTGGACTTCAGTCGTGTCGCTTTTCCGTATTTATAATTCAGTAGTATCGCATTTTAGTGAATACAAATTTGACTATTCACGTGGTAACTTTTTTATGAGATCACATCAAGACTATATAACCACAGCCAAAACATTTTTTTTTTTTTTTTTTTATAAAACTTAGAATGGCAAACAAGCTGACGGCCCACCTGATGGAAAGTGGTAACCGTCGCCTATAGACATGAGCAGTACCATGGACATAACAGAGTATACTGTTTCGTCCATGATACCCCCATGCGTTGCCATTCCTGAGGACTCAGGTGTTATTCCTCTGTACCCAGTAAATTCACGCCATATCCCACCCTTCAAACCGAAACACAGCCATGCAAACACAACTGCTTCACGGTTGAAACACGAATGGGACAGAGGTACCCAAGCAATCGACTTTTGTACAAAGTCTCCCTCTGGTATTATTATTAATTATATTTTGTTATTTCTTTTTTATGCACACAGTGAGAGCAGATTTTATAGAAACGGACAAGCTGCATGCAGCTATAAAAAATATAACAGTTTTGTTAATGAGTGAAATGAGCCGCGCCCACAACACAACGTTTTTCCATATTTATGAAACAGTCCACTGGGTGCGCATATCTTTATTTCCCGGTGGGTCTGCGACCGTAAACTTCCAGCCAAACTCCGTCGAATGGAAAAACTTTATTTATATTTGAGTTGGGAGAGGGTTTGTGAATACTAAATCAGATTGGCGCGAGAGGCGTGGCTCTTGAGCAACATATTTCATACTATACGCGTTCAACGCCGTGAATATATGTACAAAAATAAGTTGAACTTATGATTTTTTTTCTAAGAAATCAGTTCACATGTTTATTTAGATTGCGTGACATGTTTCCGTATACGCGACGATCTCGTTTCCAGGGGTTTGTTTGCAAATTGTATTAACTAATAAATGTTTTATGTGATATAACGATGCGTCAACGTTTTAGATATTACGAGTACATATCATATTGTAACTAAAATACAGTAATAACATAATACTTGTTATATTGTAGAGTGTGTGTTTTTGGAAAAAAAAGTATGATATTACTTAATTAACTTCTTAAGAGTGTTATATTAACATGATTTTAATATAGTGAAACTATTTTATGAAATAGCAAACATTTTCGTATGTATATAGTACGCTAAAGATATTAGGTTATGCCATGGAGCAGATACGTTACATATATAACATATACACTGAATATATATATATATATATATATATATATATATATATATATATATATATATTCTTCTTCTTCTACACTTCTTAAAGTTTGGCTGATAGAGAATGCCAATAACATAAGTATTAAATCCGCCTTTTGTGTAGCTTTTTATTGGTCAACAAATTTGAATAAATAAATAAATATATCCTTAGCATCGAACCTATATTTGAAATTATTGGAACTCGAAAAAAGGAAAATTTCGATGAAAACTTTCAATATAAATAAAATATTAGGGTTGTGTGTGTGGCGTTCAATTATTTTCTCATATCCTATGATAAGTGACGCTTAGCCGCATATCTGGCACGGCGTCAAAATGACAGGAGGATCTCGCCACGACAGGCGGGAGCAAGGGCGACCTCCTAAGAGGGATTTGTTTATTCCTCCGCGAAAGAATTACGAAGGCGGATACAAATTGGGGAATATAGCATTTATCCTTCCCAATGTGTCCAATTTGTTATTGCCTTCACTCCATTAGTTTCACTTACGCAGTTTGTGGTGGAAAAGAACGAACATAACAAAATATGCAGGTATAGACGTATTTTGTAATCCTATAAATAATTTCATTCTATATTTTTTACGTTTACGTTTGTTTTGGATTTTAGCAAGTGTACTGCGTGTAAACAGTTTTCTCTTAAAACCGAATTAATTATTAATTTATTAGAATGGGCCAGTGCTTCCTTTCCTGTGGGCAACGTAAGAGGCGACTAAGGGAACTTAATAGTCGAGGGACGAGCAGAAGCGTATCTCTTAAAAACGTCACCATTGAGTAACTGCGGTTGCCAACCCTCCCGCCAAGCGTAGCAAACACCGGCAAAACCACTAAATGACAAAGGCAATCTATGGGGGAGGCCTATATTCAATAGCGGATAGACAGCTTATATAATGATGAAAAATTTAATTGTAATGACTAGTTTATGAGTTTACTGATATTTGTAGATATGAATGAATTAGATTATTTTGTAGTTTTGTTGAGACTGATACAGTATTGTAAATATAAATTTCGAAAAAAGCATTTCTACAGTTTATTTTTAACTTTATTAACTAAATTATGTTTTGATATCAATTTATGATCCATAATTATTTAATAAAAGGTGAATATAAATCACAGGATTTTGATATTAAGATTTTACTTTGTTTTTTTTACGACACTGAATGTCGTTGGCCTTAAAATGCTTGCTTCCCGAAATTATATTCGTTGCGTTAAATAGGAAAACCTGACTTGTAGAAAAGTAATATTTTTTATGTAATAGAATCTAGATTTCGTCAGCTAAATAGGATATTAAAATGAAGAGATTGTGCTATTAACAACAAATCTATGTTATGTATATTCTGTTATGTTCATGGTACTGTTCACGTCTATAGGCGACGGTTACTACTATCAATCAAGTAGGTCATTAGCTTATTTGCCCTTCTAAGTTTCTTAAAAAACATTAGGTCATAGATACCTATGTGTGTACCTGATATTTTGGTATGAGTACCAATACGTATAGGCGTACACATGTATACGAAACTAGGTTACCTGGTATTCTCCCCTGGCGGTACAGCTGAGCATGGCACCAGTGTCGTTGGTGAATTCGATGTGATGCGGCGGCTCCTGCACCGTTGGCAATTTTCGGGGTTCTGGCGATGCTCGTACTGCTGTAATGAAAAGATGTAATCAGTAATTTGTACCGACTACATGTACTGGGGGCAAAGGGATTGTTAGTGAGAGAAATCTAACAGCTTCATAGCAATATACCTTATCAGGTTGATTTCCACGCGGTTCCCCCTGAAAACTATCTTGGTTAATTCTTATGGAATTCATCACGATGGGCTAACTGACCTACTTACATCCTCACCGATTTTTCCTCACTGGTGCTCCGCCAGTGTATACCAATAGCGTGGACGGAGTTACCATTTCATTTTCATGCATTAAATAACTACATACCTACTACCACTACATATATTTTATGTAAATTTTACATACATACATATCTGTCACGCCTGTCTCCCATTAGGCTAGGCAGAAACAATGGAACGCCAAATGCTTCGATTCAAACAAACCTCTTTCGCTTCTTCCACATTCATCAATCTTTTCATACACGCTCGCCGGTTACGGGTACTTTTAATTTGGCCCTTCTTCAGCACGTCGCCTATTTGGTCAACATACGTCCTTCTTGGGCGGCCCCTACCGACATCTCCATTCATTCTTGCTCGATAAATCTCTTTCGTAATTCTTCTTTCATCCATCCTCTCCAAATGACTAAACCAACGCAATATTCCTTTTTCGATTTTTGTCACTACATCGTCTTTCAGTCCACACTTCTCTCTAATTACACTGTTTCTTACTCTATCTTAAATTTTAATATATTATTTACTTAGTATTTCCATGGCGCACGTGATATTTTAGGTATTAGTTATGGTAGATCTACGCTTTGTTACTGTAGATACCATCTTTGTAGTATAAAAAAATCGTACTAATAAATTTAATTTAAAAATAAAGTAAAATGCCCCTCACATGTGACGAGAAATATTATATGTATGCAGTACTTAAAACGAGCATAGTCGTATAATTTTCATTTCAAACGAGATATTCTAATGAAGAGAATTCTCTGTAGTTAGTCTGCTTTATTATCTATGTAAACTTAAAGTTCAGCGGTTTCAATGAGAGAAAGCGCCTTTCCTCGTAATAACACATTGGCCGGTACGACTGTGGACACGAAATGGAATAAAGCTGTCTGAATACTAGGTTCTCACGTATAAACGCAATGAAATTAAATAGAGCGACCATGTATAATAAAATTCATGTATCTCTACGTATGTCTGAGGTCGTTATTACATTACATTAGGACACTAACATACATTACGTTAGTGTCCTTTGAACGTGGATTCAAAGGACACTAATCAAGTAATTACGTATGGACATAATTAAAAAAGGTATCTATGTACTAAATGTTCTTATCAAATACCTATAAACAACTCTATCCCGCCGCAAGTTTTAAAAACCCTATTTTCTTCAATACAGCATACGGAATGCTTGACAAAATTTTTAAAATTTTAACTAGATTTAATGGCTGTAAATATAGATTGATTTTGATTTATTAATAGTAATTTTTTTTATTATAAACTAGCTGTATACTAATTAATGTATGTATATGCATCTAGATTTTTTATAATATGTACTCACACGAGTAGTAGTGTAGCTTTATCCTGCATTTTTTTCTCGCGAATTATAATAAAAAGATTCCAGTATATGGTTTACGTCTACATAAAATAAAATAAAATATGAATCAGATATATGTATATATATATATATATATATATATATATATATATATATATATATATATATATATATATATATATATATATATATATATATATATATATATATATATATATATATATATATATATATATATATATATATATATATATATATATATATATATATATATATATATATATATATATATATATATATATATATATATATATATATATATATATATATATATATATATATATATATATATATATATATATATATATATATATATATATATATATATATATATATATATATATATATGTATAATAATCCGCACAATATATACACATACATACACACACACACATACATACATTATATATACATCGATAAAATTGTATATAAGTTTTAAAAATAATAAATATTATAAGTTTGTGTCCCTTTCACGTGCAATCATTCTTGTATTAAAAGGTTAATGATAACTGTAATAATTTAATAATACTAAAATATCATATATACATACATACGTCTACTCTACAGCTACGAGTATATAACCATTTGCACATATTAACACGTCCACACTGCGATATCGCATTCCCGCTCTATTATTCTGCCCATTTACGGGTCTAGTCTTTCTTGATATGTAATTGGGAGAAAGTAAAATGGAATTTATTGGAATTTTCTGTCTTCTATATTGTTAATATTTTAGAACAATGATGTAAATAATATTATTATCTCTTTAAATTAGGTCGGAGCTCATGGAACATTACAAACAATTTTCTCTTCAATAATTTACTTTTGTTACTAATCTTACCAAATTGTAGTAACCGAATATATAAATATATATATATATATATATATATATATATATATATATATATATATATATATATATATATATATATATATATATATATCTTGCTATATTAAGGTTTTGTTTCATCGACTTCAATTCTAGCAAAACCAAATAACTGTAAGAATATCTTCTGTTAAAAAAAAGAAGTTTTCAAATCGGGTTGTAATTGACGGCGTGATGATATAACAAATATTAAAAATTACAATCGAATTGAGAACGTCCTTCTTTTACATGAGGGATACTTTTTCTTATACATTAAATAAAACTTGTTTTTTCTATATCAAATTAGATATCGTTAAATCTTATTCCTATGTTGTCAAGCACATTTCCTTTATGACATAGAAATAAGACATTGACTAGGCGGTAGCAAACAATCTCAGATACTGATTAATATCTCGTAGATTAAATCATAGAGAATATTATCTGTACATTAATTAAGAGTTATATTTATGACATTACAAATGAAATGTATCTGAAAAACGATTTGTTGTTTTCCAGACTTTATTATTATTATGAAAAGATCACCCCTTCCTTTCCCGTGAGTGTCGTAGAGGCGACTAGGGGAAAGTGAGGGATGGGCAGCAGAGTCTATCTTAAAATATCTCTAAAGCTTATCTGCGGTTGCTAATCCGCCTGGCCAGTAATCATATTTAGTAGGTTTATGTTTAGCAGGGGACAGTTAAAGACTAATATGATGATGATGATGATGATGCAATTACGTAGAGTTATCAATTTAATAAAATAATTAATTCAGAAATATTGATATCGATATGAATCACTAAAGACCAAGCTGTTTCAAGATGTACAATTTTCAAATGTGATTAAATGGTTGCATAGGTTTCATACAAACGGTTTTTCTTCAAAGAGTCAGGAGCCTGAATAAGACAAGTACCAGTCAGTAGCAAACGTAGATTACACTTCATATAGTTAAGCATCACATCAGAGACAATAAGATAAGGTATCTACATCAGACTGGGAGGCAATGGTGGCGGCGGGGAGACGTACCTGTGCTCCAGTGAGGCGCGCCGCAAGCCGCAGCGTTCGATTTCCGTTTAATTTTGCGACGGCTTCGTTCGTCTCTGTATATCTATATTGTCTATGGTTTACATCTGTCGCATTTGACTAATTGTCTTGTAATGACTAGTTCTGGTTGATGTTTACGTAAGCAATAGTTATATGCCGCGGCTTCGTTCACGTTAATTGAGAGAATACGTAATTTCATACGAAAGTTCATATGTACCAATTTTGATTAAAACACGTTTACACCTATTAGCAATATTGAATAATAGACTATTAGTAGGAAGTAGTGTAAATGAAGAAATTAAAAAATCTTTTCTAAAATAATTTTAGGTTTCATAGGATCGTATTAATACGAAGTTGGTCGTGAGAGATTTGTAAAGAGATTTATTGATCAACATTATCATTAGATAATGTACATCTATAAATCAAATTTAAGTTTAATTTAGCAGTTAACATTTAACACGTACATGTAAGGTGTGTATATAATAGATATATTATATTTTTTACATCTTTGTATATAATATATATAATTTTTTGTATATAATTACTATAGATCAATAATTAATTACATAAAAAAATAAACAATATTAATCTATTCCCAATTTGACCACAGATTTTAACAATAAACAAAAGAGTGTGTAAAAAAATTTTGCAGTTTAGATGTTATAAAGCGGATAATATATTTGCTTGTTATTGTTAATAAATAAAACTCAGCGATGGTTGGAGTCGTTGTTTCACATAGAGTATCTCTCTTTTCTAGACTGTGGTAAGTTGGTGATTTGAGACCATGCATTGCGATATGGCTGACATTATGGCGAGAAATTGAGAAATGTTATATAAGTTTTCTCTTTTCTTTCATGTAGTTCGATTAATATATAGAATGCAGACTCATTCGGTCAATCATTCATTCAATCACTGTTCAGTGAACCGCTGTTTTCGATTCAAGTTTCGTTTATTAATCATAAACAGAAGCTCAATATTGCTATTCACTTGACGTAGATTTATTAATAGTTGCCTAATAAGACCTGCGTCACTTTATATAAAAAACAATTATATGAAATCTATGTAACTATTGAATTTAAAAACTGTACCTATTAGGAAAAAACTATATATTTATATATGTCAAAAAGTTTTATAATGCACATTGATACCGATATTTTGAATAGAGTTTACTATTTTAAGTTGCATAAAAAAAAAGATAGGTACAACATTACTATTTATTTTATTGTGTTAATATTTCTAGATGATTACGTAAATTAATTTTCTAACTTTGTCAGTACAAAAACAGAGCCGATTTTTAAATATCGTAATGATTATTTGCTTCGTGAGGAAGATTAGAGTGATCTTGAAATAATATAGATGTAATAACTTGAATATCGGATATGTTTGACATTTAAATAAACTGTCAGTTTCATAAACATCACATTAAGCATGTCGATGTTAATGTAGAGTTCAAAGAAAATCTGGTTATAATACGCAAATAGGCTTAATATATTAGGATGTCAATACATA